ACTGAATTTTAGAGCCCTGTTGGAAAAAATTCTGCTTTCCAGGCCCCCCAGGATCCCAGGCAGCTCTGAGCCCTCATGGGGTGCAAATAATGGGTCATAACCTAAAAAATCCCGTTAATTCAGCTGCTTGGCCACTGAATTCCAGAGCCCTGCAGGCCCAGCTGCCCCTTTCCCCCTCGGAGGTCCCTCCACCCCACAACCCCCCATACCTGGGCCACATTATGAGTCCCCCCTGTCCCCCCCCAGCAGACCCCTACGTCAAGGTGAACGTCTACTACGGGCGCAAGCGCATCGCCAAGAAGAAGACCCACGTCAAGAAGTGCACCCTGAACCCCGTGTTCAACGAGTCCTTCATCTACGACGTGCCCGGGGAGCTGCTGCCCGACGTCAGCATCGAGTTCCTGGTCATCGACTTCGACCGCACCACCAAGAACGAGGTGGTCGGGAGGCTCATCCTGGGCGCCCACAGCGCGACGCCCGCGGGCGCCGAGCACTGGAGGGAGGTCTGTGACAGCCCCAGGAAACCCGTGGCCAAGTGGCACAGCCTGAGCGAGTACTAAAAAAAAAAACAAAGCAAGGCACCAACCTTCTTTCCATCCCCACCCTCCCCCCGAGCCCACCTAGGACAGACTTAAAACCTTGTTTTAGCTGTAGGACTAAAAAAAAAAAACAAAAAACCAACGAAACTCTTCGTTCGTCCGGCGAGGTCGGTTCTCTTTAGTGATGTGGGGTTTTTTTGTTTGGTTTTTTTAATTCTGTTGGTTCGTTTTATGTTTTTTGGTTTGGTTTTTTTTTTTTAATTTTGCAGGGCGTTAAAAAAAAAAAAAAAAAAAAAAAAAAAAAAAAAAACGCTCTGAGAGAGCATTAAAGGACAAAAAAAAAAAAAAAGAGGTACCACAGATATATATAACAGTGTAATCACGCTATTGCATGCCTAATAAAACTGAAAATTAGTATAACTCTGCCAGTATCAAGTTGCAGGTTTTAATACAATTATCTGTCACTATGGAAGTTGTGTTCGTGCCGAGCTGTCTCTGCTGGTATTTCACCAAGATTGGCCTGTCTTTTTTATTAGGCTTCTTCTCCCCAGGTTTTCTGGATTCTGCTGTTTAACCTCTGGTTTCTTGTTCGTTTGCCTGCCCACGGGTTCTGTTCTGTGCTGGGTGAGAATTCTGCACTGGCACAAAAGGGAAATACAGGGAAAATGGCACTGGCCTCCAGAGAAGGAACAATTCCGTTGTCAGGCACTGAAATCCTCGGGTTTGGGGAGCTGTGAGGTCACAACACCCCAGAGTTGCCTCCCAAACCCAAACACCGACCGGTCCCGCTGCTTTTGCCACGTGGAAATCCCACAGGATTCCTAAAAACTGAGGAAACTCTGCTCAGTTTTGGTTTTATTGAACCCCTGTCCATGCCTGTGTTTCCCAAGGGAAGCCAAGCACTGGGAAGGAAACTCTCCACCATCAGATGAAATTCCTGGTCCATAAGTTCCGTTTAAGGTCAGGACAGAGCTGGGGTGGGGGAAGAGCTCGTGTGGGAGAGGATTACAAAGCTCCCCTTCATCCCCCCTCGGGTCAGACGTGACCCTCAGAGGCAGCTTTGGAAGGAGGAGCAGACACAGGGCAAAGCCTGGCACTGAAACGGGTCAGGCTTGGAATTCCGGGGCAGCCTGAGCTCCACAAAGTTTGGGAGCAGCTGCCTCGGATGTGCTGCTGCTCCCGGGGTCGGGCTCTGGCTACAGCCCAGCCCAGGGGAGGGAGAGGAGGATTAATTCATTAACCAGCAGCAAATAATTGGTGGTGAACAGTGAACTGAGCAGGAACAGCCAGAACTGAAATAATTTCTGGGTCCTGCAGTGGGAACACGAAGCAGGAGCGAGTTTGGGGAGGGGCTGCCGGGGGATCCCGGGATTCCAGGATGCAAATCGTGGGGTTTAATTGAAAAAAAAACACAACAACAACAAAATTAGGATAATTTAGCTGCTTACAGGAGCCCTGAATTTTAGAACGTGACCCTTTCCACCTCCGTGCTCGGGACTGGGCCGGTCGCTCCCAGTCCCTCCCAGTCCCTCCCAGTCAAGCAGGGACTTCACTCCTCCCCGATGGCCAGCGAGGGTTTCTGCCTGAGGGTAGGGTCGGTTTTATCGGTGTCTTAAATGCTCTGGGCTCTTGGGTGGCTCCAGAGAAGGAATTCCCCCTTGGAAGTGGCTGCAGATCCGTTTAAATCCTTGTGGTTTGGGGGGGTTTTTGTTGCTTTTTTTGCTTTTGGTTTGTTTTTTTTTTTTTTTTCTCTCTAAGCGACTGTGTCGCTGAAATTTTAGCAACTGCCACGAACTTTTTTCCTCCAAACATGCTTTCCAGCACCTCTCCCAAAAATCTGACCGGGACCTAAAAAACAGCAACGAAATTCCCCCTCCCTCCCCTTTCCCCCTCGGTGTGAAAAGCATGTGTGAGCCTCGATGATTCCTTTAGTTGCAAAGGAAAGATGAATTTCTTGTCAAGGAAACATGCTCAGGGTAAATAGACTTAGGCTGTCGGGCAGGTAGGAGTAGCTCCAACACTCTTCTGGAATAATAGGAAACTGAAGATGTGCAGATATTATATATTTTTAAGACATAAAATAAGACAGTTAAGTGACAGCAGACTCACTGTAAAAAAATCTCCCAGGTGTGGTTTATTCTTTGTGTCTTCTGTTGTAAAATGAACTTGGACAAGTTACAACGTTGTGTGGGAAAAAAAAAAACAAAAACAAAAAAAACCACAAAAAAAAAAAAGAGAGAGGGAAAAACAAAACAAAACAAAAAGGCAAAAAAAGCCAACTCTCAACCTGTGTGGAAGTGCATAACTGCTATCAGCTAACCTCCATCCTGTAACGCTACCTTGTATGTTGGATTTGTTAACGCACATCGAGCGTGCAAATAAAGATTAAATCACTTTATCCGCTGCCTGAGCTCCGTGCTGGGACCGGGGGCCGCTCCAGGCATCCCAAGGAACCCCCCGTGCTGCTCCCAGGGAGAGCAAACACCGGGATAAACCTCGGGGAGGCGCGGGAGGGCCACGGGATCCTGGGGAATTGGGGGTAAAATTAAGGCGAGCCCGGGGAAGGGGAGATTTTGGGGTGACAAAAGGATGGGGAGGGATCATTTCCAAGGGCCTGGAGGAGGGGGAACGGTTTCCAGCTGCAGGAGGGAAAGACTTAAATCAGCTGTTGGGAAGAAATTGGTCCCTGGGAGGGTGGGGAGGGCCGAGGTTATTCCACGGCTGCCCCATCCCCGGCAGTGTCCCAGGCCAGGCTGGAGCAACCCGGGATAGGGGAAGGTGTCCCTGCCCGCGGAAACGAGAGGATCTTTAAGGTCCCTCCCCACCCAGCCCATCCCATTCCACGATCCCCTGACGGCCTCAGCCCATCCCAGGACCCTCAGCGTTATAACTGGGAATAAATTGCTATAAATGAATCTTCACTGGATCTTCACAGTTGGATCCAAGTGGGGAGGGAAAAAATAAAAAAGGACATTAAACGGGCAGAAAAAGAAGCCATTTCACCCCGGAATCTGTAATCCAGGGGCGTTCCCGGATCCCTGGGACAAGTCTGAATCCTCCAGGGACGTTTATTCCCATCTCCCCCCTCCTGGAGCAGCGGGGATGTGGCTCCCGGGGCTCGTTCCCCTGGGATGTGGCTCCCGGGGCTCGTTTTCCTGCAGCACCGCCCAGGGCCGGGCACAAAGCCCGGCTTTACAAAGCCCGGCTTTACAAAACCCGACAGCCCCGGGCCGGGTTTCCCCGGCAACAGATTCCTGCCAGGGCCTTCCTTCCCGCTTTTTTTTTGGGAGCTTCCCAAGCCGCGGCAAGTCCAGGGGTGCTCCCACTATCCCAGCTTGCTCCAGGTTGGCCTTGGACACTCCCGGGGATTGCAGGGATTTGGATTCCAGGGGCTCAGGACACGGTTCTGCTCCAGCATTTCCCCTCTTCCCGTTGTTTATCCCGGGAATAACCACGGTTGTCACTCAGGAATTGTTGCTCCCCAGTTATTACTCAGTTATTATTGCACAGCCACCGATTTGTTTTCTATTTTATTTTATTTTATTGTGCAAAAAAACGTGAGAGAAAAAAAAAAAATCTCAGCTCGACTGGTGCACATCCAGCCTGGAAAAACCGGCTGGGTTTGGGTCCTTATCCCATTCCAGAGGGACAGAAACAAAGGGATTGGCACGAGAAAAAGAGGGAGAAGGAAGGAAAGAAGGAAGGAAGGGAGGAAGGAAGGAAAGAGAAGGGAGAAAGGAAGGAAGGGAGGGAGGGAGGAAGGAAAGGAAAGAAAGAAGGAAGGATGGAAAGAAGGAAAGAAGGAAAGAGAAAGAGAGAAGAGAGAGAAAGATGACGGAAGGTGCCTGACAAGAGCAGGGGTTCGAGCAGAGCGAGCTCAGCCCCGACTCCCCGGATCCCCCTTTTCCCTGGAAGCGCCGCTGGAAGCAGCGGGGTTTGCTCCCCTTCGGGCACACTCGGGTCTCTCCTCCCTCCCCATCCCGTTCCCGGCGGATCCCGGATCCCGCTGGAGTCGGGGCCGGCATTTCCTCGGGAGGAGGCGGGAGAAGCTGCGGCTCCGCCCCGGACCCGCTGGAATGCGGCTCCTCCCGGGATTTGGGGGGGTTCGGACAGGGCGGGGAACTCCGGGCTGTGCTTTCCGCAGGTGGCAGCGCCTCCAGCGCGATTCCAGCAGGGAAACCTCCACATTCCTGCACTGCTGCCACAGTGGGACAAAGGGACACTGGAATTCCACACTGGAATGGGCCGCCCAGGGAGCTGCTGGAGCCCCTGGAGGTGTTTCAAAGGATGGATGTGGTGGGGTTGGGTCCCCGGTTGGACTCAGAGCTCTTTTCCAACCCGGTTGATTCCGTGACTCGTTTGGGTCCCACCCTGCTGGTGAGCTGAGCACTCAGGTAACACTTGCACGAGGATCCCACGTTGATTTTGCTGGGAAAAAATCCCAAATCTCCTCGGTGAGGAGCTGAGAAGTCCAGCCCAGCCCAGCCCAGCCCAGCTCTGCTCAGCCCAGCCCAGCCCAGCCCAGCTCTGCTCAGTGACCTCAACGCCGGCCGGGCCCCTGGAGCTCTGGGGTGTTGTTGTTGTTGTTGTTGTTGTTCTGGAGAGCAGCTCGTGCCAAACACCCAGGAAAACAGGGAATTCAGCCGGTCTGGGGGCAGCTCCAGCCACGTCTGGCACAGCCCAGCTCCCAACACTCCCAGTTTGACCCGGGAATGTTCCCAAAGTGACGCCGGGAACCGAGGGAAAAATGGCAACAAACAGGAGGAAAACCCGTTGCTGTGTCCGAAGTCCAGGATGCGGAAGGAAGGGAATCTCATCCTAAACACAAACAACGGGCAGAGTCACTCCCGGAGTCCCCTCAGGGTGTTGTCCCTGAGCCGCTCCGGGCCCGCCCGCCGGGCTCTCCTTCCGTTCTTCCCAGAGGAATTTTCCTTTCCCCCCCCCCCCGGCTCAGGTGACTGAGTCCTTCTTCCTGCGGAAGGGAGACTTGAGCCTCTTCCACACGCTGCTCTTGGGCTTGGATTTCTTCTCCATGGCCATCACGGCCTCCCTCTCCTTGCGGCGGATCTCCCTCACCAGGGCGTGGAACACGTCGTCGATGTAGTACCGGAACGCCGCCGACGTCTCGAAGAAGGGGCAGTTGAACTCCCGGGCCAGGGCAGAGCCTTCCTCCTTGGACACCTGGGAAAACAACCCCACACCAGCTCAGGGAGATGTTGATCTCTGTGCCTCGCTGTGCTCGCTGGCGCCGGGACCCTCACAGCTCCAGGGCAGCTCCTCCCCACCCTTCTCCAAAGCTTTCCCCACAAACCTGCTCTG